GCAATGTTTAAAGATGATATAAGTGAACAGACAAATGAAAAGTGATCTCTCAGAGCTTAGGAAATATGGTAGACAAAAGCAGGAGATTACAGAGTTTGAAACCATATTAGATGAAACAAAAATAGAAAAATTATAACTGAAAACATGCAAGGAAATACAGTAATTAGGCAAGAGGCTATCATACAAAATGAAATGAAAATATAAAATAGATATAAAATGATAAGAAAAGCTTGGTGTAGTGATGCATGCATGTAATTTCAAGTGCTCAGGCAGCTAAGGCAGGAAGATCAGTTGAGTCCATGAGTTGGAGACCAGCCTGGGCAACATAGTGAGACCGTGTCTCAAAAAAAAAAAAAAAGATATGAAAGTAAAAGTAATAATACAGAAAATTTCTAATTATGAAAGATTGTCAAAGAAAGGTCAACACATGCAAAATTTGTGTCTCTGAAGATAACAAATATAAAATATATATAAACAAATACAAAAAATTTTTCTAACAAAGGAAACTTGTTCAAATAATGGAATATAAATGTAGAAAGGACACACAATGTCTCAGGAAAATTAATATAAAATAATTAGGATCAAAGCATTTCCCAGTGAAGTTACTAAATAAAGAGAAAAGAAAATCATAGCATCCAAGCAGAAAAAGAAAGTTATATTCAATATGAAAAAATCAGCTTGGCCTCAGACTGCACCATGGCAATATGTAATGCCAGAAAACACTGGAGAAATGTTCTGAGAGGCTCAAATAATCCTCTCACCTCAGCCTCCCAAGTAATTGGGACTACAGGCACATGACACCATGCCTAGCTAACCTGATCCTTGTGTTCACAAAGTTATGAGAGAAAGTGGAATTGAAGCATTTTTATACCCAGCAAAGCTGTCTTTTAAATATATAGGCATGTTTATTGCAGCACTGTTCATGATAGCAAAGACTTGGAACCACCCAAATGCCCATCAATGATAAACTGGATAAAGAAAATGCAGCCGTAAATATACTTTATAATTTGTGTTTACAATTGAACTTCTGGAAATTCGAAATCAACATCTTTGCCTATGAGCTTCTTATAGACACCAGAAAAAGTTTTGACCTTGTGTTCCATATTGTTCTGCTGTGCTTTGTCCATATGAACCTTTATAAGCTGGCTGCCATCCAGTTTCACGTGGGAAGACCAAATCCTCAAGGATTGCATCGTAAATGCAATCAAGCTGAGTCTTGAGGTCTGAGTTCATCTCCAGCTTTAGAAGACCCTGGACAATGCCACACTTGAACTCTTCTGGCTTCTCACTATTGGGCTTCACAATCTTGGCACTTGAACTGAACATGGCCTTCTTGCTTAGTGCTGACTTAGGAAAACAGATAGACATTCTAAACAGATAAGAATAGTGCATGCCCAAGCTCCCCCAACTATGGCCACTTTCTGGTCCCCAACACAAGCATAGCTGAAGAACAACTGCAAATTGAATTGTTCGTGAAGGCTGACAGTGATGGGGCCAAGATTGGGAACTGCCCCTTCTCCCAGAGACCGTTCACAGTGCTGTGGCTCAAGATGGTTACCTTTAACATCACCATCTTTGACACCAAGAGGCAGACCAAGACAGTGCAGAAGCTGTGCCCAGGAGGGCGGCTCCCGTTCCTGCTGTATGGCACTGAAGAGCACAAAGACACCAACAAGATTGAGGAATTTCTGTAGGCAGTGCTGTGCCCTCCCAGGTACCCCAAGCTGGCAGCTCTGAACCCTGAGTCCAACACAGCTGAGCTGGACATATTTACCAAACTTTCTGACTACATCAAGAATTTAAACCCAGCACTCAGTGACAATCTGGAGAAGGGACTCCTGAAAGCCCTGAAGGTTTTAGACAATTACTTGACATCCCCTCATCCAGAAGTGGATGAAACCAGTGTTGAAAATGAAGGCATCTCTCAAGGAAGTTTCTCGCCCTGACTGTTGCCAAAGCTACCCGTAGTACAAGCGGTGTGTAAGAAGTACTGGGGGAACGGGGTGTGGTGATTGATGCTTATAATTCCAGCACTTTAGGAGGCCAAGGTGGGTGGATCACTTGAGGTCAGGAGTTGAAGATCAGCCTGGCCTACATGGTAAAATGCCATCTCTACTTAAAAATAAATAAATAACAACAACAACAAAAAAATTAGCCAGGTGTGGTGGTACATGCCTGTAATCCCAGCTACTCAGGAGGCTGAGACAGGAGAATCACTGGAACCTGGGAGGCAGAGGTTTCAGTGAGCCAAGATCACGCCACTGCACTCTAGCCTAGATGACAAAGTGAGACTCCATCTCAAAAAAAAAAAAAGAAGTACCTGGGATTCATCATCCCTGAGGCCTTCCGGGGAGTGCATCAGTACTTGAGCAATGCCTATTCTCGGGAAGAATTTGCCTCCACCTGTCCAGGTGATGAGGAGATCAAGCTCACGTTTGAACAAGGGGCCAAGGCCCTCAAATAAGCCCGTTTTGGGACTCTTTCAACCCCCTCCATTTCCTCCACAAAGGCCCTGGTGGTTTCCATATTGCTACCCAATGGACACATTCCAAAATGGCCAATGGGCAGGGAATCCTAGAGCACTTGTTCAGGGATGGTGTGGTGGAAGAGGGGATGAGGGAAAAAAATAGGGGACCTGGGTGAGATTTTTACTGTGGGTTGGGATGGGTAGGAAAACATATTTCAGTAGTAAAATACAGAATAAAAACTTTTTAAAAAGGAAATAGTGCAAGCGTCATTTCTTTTTTTTTTTTTTTAATGAGCTGGGGTTTCTCCATATTGGTCAGCCTGGTCTCGAACTCCCAACCTCGGGTGATCCGCCCACCTCGGCCTCCCAAAGTGCTGGGATTACAGGCGTGAGCCACCGCGCCCAGCCATGAGTCGTTTTTAAAAGAGTTGAAACTCAAACTTTCAGAGCCAGTGTTGGGTGATAGAAAAAAAATAGTCACTATATAGCGCATGGTGAAACTCCGTCTCTACTAAAAAAAAATACAAAAAATTAGCCGGGTGTGGTGGGACATGCCTGTAGTCCCAGCTACTTGGGAGGCTGAGGCAGGAGAATCACTTGAACTCAGGAGGCAAAGGTTGCAGTGAGCTGAGATTGTGCCACTGCACTCCAGCCTGGGTGACAGAGCAAGACTCCATCTCAAAAAAAAAAGGAAAAAAAGAAATTAATTATTAATCACATTTCTTCCTTAATTCAGTTTAGGCTTGAAGACTGGTAATTTTAAATTATCTTCAGCAAATTCATAGGCTTGCCCAACTGAACTCAATTGTACACATTTTCATAGTATAATGCCTATTTCCAGGTGTGTGTGATGAATCCCTCGGTATGATACACTGCAATTCAGCTCAAATGTTTGGTTAAATCATGCACAGCACATGCAACAGATTTTAAAAATAATTCTATCATATCTCATATAGTAGGAGGAACAGAAATGCAGGAACACAGCTGGAAAAAGACACCAATATCTACACATGCATATTCATGTCTCATCCATGCACATCTTTTTTTTTTTTTTTTAAGATGGGGTTTCACCATGATGGCCAGGCTGGTCTTGAACTCCTGACCTCAGATGATCCACCCACCCTGGCCTCCCAAAGTGCTAGGATTACAGGTGTGAGCCACTGCGCCCGGCCCATGCCCGGCCTTTTTTTTATCCCCCCCCATGCACATCTTCATCCTGCTCAGGCATATTCTTCCAAAAGCTTTTCTTCTATCCACTTACTCACTCCTTTAGCCTTTAGAGAAATGAATGGGGCCGGGAGCAGTGGTTCACACCTGTAATCCCAGCACTTTGAGAGGCCGAAGTGGGCAGATCACAAGGTCAGGAGATCAAGACCATCCTGGCTAATATGGTGAAACTCCATCTCTACTAAAAACACAAAGAATTAGCCAGGCATGGTGGCATGTGCCTTTAGTCCCAGCTACTCGGGAGACTGAGGCAGGAGAATCACTTCAGCTCAGGAGCCGGAGGTTGTAGTGAGCCGAGATCATGCTATTGCACTCCAGCCTGGGCGACAGAGCAAGACTCTGTCTCCAAAAAAAAAAAGAGAGAGAGAGAAATAAATGGGATGAGCTACTAACCTATTTTTTTCACCAGCCTAGTGAGCATCAGTTAATTGAACATAGGCCTGATAGTATTTGGGAGGCAGAAGAAAACCAGGAACCAGAAACCTTAGTATGCCCAGTGTATTCTACCTGTCTGCTTACATCAAAGGGGATGGGAGACACGGCTGTGCAGATTCTCCTTCATTCATGTCTTCATAATTATGTGAATCACATTTAGTACCCCAACTACCTGCCAGTTTGGGGGATTAGGGATTTTGGGACAAAGTCTCACTCTGTCACCCAGGCTGGAGTGCAGTGGCCCAATCTTGGCTCACTGCAGCCTCGACCTCCTGGGCTCAAAGGATCCTCCCACCTCAGCCTCCCAAGTAGCTGGAACTACGGGTGTGCATCACCATGCCCAGCTAATTTTTATATTTTTTGTAGAGATGCCTAGGCTGGTCTCAAACTCCTGGCATCAAGTGATCTGCCCACCTCAGCCTCCCAAAGTGCTGGGACTACAGGTATGAGCCACCTCACCCTCAAGGACTATTTTAATCAAAGCAAAGACATGCCATGAGTTGTCCTCATATCATAGTTTAGTATGGTTGGAGTTCAAATTCTGATCAAAGAGAGGCTGCAGGGCTAGCATAGTGGGGAACCTCATGAGTGAAGAGGAGAGAACAATTATTTTACTTAGATGCTGAAAATTGTGTTCACAAGGACTTTAAAGAAATAAAGCATTGTTACAGGACTGTCTCTCTCAGAGTCCCAAGATCAGGCTGGGTAGCCTTTCAGTTTTTAACTCTTTTTATTTCATCTTTATTGTCTGGTTTCTGATCGCGTGTAACAAACTTTTTATTGTGATGAACAGATACTATTCTGGGACTTCTTAAATTCAAAATAATCATTTATGTGGTAAAAAGATAACACTTAATTTTTTCCAATTTAGATAACTTACATACGACAAGAATATGAAACAAAATTGAAAGGGTTGATGCCAGCATCTCTAAGACAAGAACTTGAAGACACCATTTCCTCCCTAAAATCACAGGTAATTACTAGAATCAAGGCATTTTCCAAGGATTTAGGTGATGTGCATACTCTGAAAAGAAACTTGCAAATAAATCTGATTCCAAATTGATTACAGAAATCAACATGATGTCATTGCATAACCTGCTACACAGGATAAATTGTTTTCGTTTTAAATATTTTCTTCCTTGTTTAATAACTCACTGTCTCAATGAGAATTTCTTTAAAGCGCCCTTAAAATTGAAACGTTCAGTCAGTTATGATAACTTTAATTCATTTACAGTCTATCTTCCAGTATAGCCTCATCCTTTTATTCTTGGCATCGGGTCCAAAATGCCATCACTTAGCATATGGTTGATTCCTCACTGTGTAGAAGTGCAGAGAAATTGAAAGCACAATTATGTTAGAAGCACTTTTATTCTGGTGTATTTTACGTGGTCATTAGAGATAACAAGATGTATTCTAAGTTCAAAGCAAAATAATGACAAGGTATTCAAACAATTAGGTTAAATAGCTCCTGTTGAAATGTGTGGTTCTTGGCTGGGCATGGTGTCTCATGCCTGTAATCCTAGCACTTTGGGAGGCCTAGGCAGGCAGATCACTTGAGGTCAGGAGTTCAAGACCAGCCTGGCCAATATGGCAAAATCCCATCTCTACTAAAAATACAAAACTTAGCTGGGCGTGGTGGCCCCTGTCTATAATCCCAGCTACTCAGAAGGCTGAGGCAGGAGAATAGCTTGAACCTGGGAGGCGGAGGTTGCAGTGAGCCACGTTCGCGCCATTGCACTCCAGCCTGGGCAACAGATATTGTTGGTTCTAGATATTGTTCATGAAATGTGATGTGAGTAAAACTTCTAACATGTTTTTGCTACATATTTCTGTATTGTTTGAATGTTTTATATATTACTGGTATCATGAGAAAGACTTTACGTATTCACATTTCCAATACACTTTGAAATTTTCTTTTTTTGAGACAGAGTTTCGCTCTGTCGCTCAGGCTGGCGTGAAGTCGCGTGATCTCGGCTCAGCAACCTCCGCCTCCCGGGTTCGAGCGATTCTCCTGCCTCAGCCTCCCAAGTAGCTGAGATTACAGGAGCACGTCACCACACCTAGCTAATTTTTGTATTTTTAGTAGAGACAGGGTTTAACTGTGTAGGCCAGGCTGGTCTCGATCTCCTGACCTCAAGTGATTTGCCCACCACAGCCTCCCAAAGTGTTGAGATTACAGGCATGAGCCATCATGCCCAGCCCACTTAGAAATTTAAGACATTTTTTTTTCCTGGAAAAATTTCATGAAGGAAAGGATTTCTTTACTCTCAGTGCCAAGAACTGAGCCTGGCACATAACAGGTGCTTAATCAATTTATTTATGAATAAAATAAATGATATGGTTTGATGATATCTACATTATCTATTTATAATATGTAAGATAAGATGTGGAACACATTTTAGCTGCTCTTTTTATATTCCTCTAGTAAGAAGTCTCTTATCTGAAAATGAAATGTTCATAATCTCAATCCATATGCTACTGTTTGTTATTGATTCTATGGGCTAAGAAATTTTGCTCACGCCTGCATATAAAAATAAGTACTGTAGGAGAATGGTAACATGCAAAGCATCAAGTAATCTTTATTTGCATGAAAAGCTCCACTCCAGGTGTGGTTTACCCATTAAGTTTGTAGGCGAACTACAGATAGTGTCAGCTATGTAGGACCTGACGCCTTCAGAGGAGTTTTTTTAGAAAGAGGAAAAAAAAAAGAAATCTGATACCCACCTGCAGGGCTTCTGTTATCATTCATATCATTTCACTGTAATAAAAGCCACCTCAGCCTCCTAAAACTGGATGCTGACCCAGAAAGAGAGTGCTGCCAGCTGCGATAGGGCCTCAGAGTTGGCAGCTGCATGGAGGAGTCACAGGCCATACAGCGAGCAAATTTAGTTTGAAAGCACAGGTGCCTGTGTTTTTTAAGAATTGTTGGAATTCCGACTACAGAGCATGGTTGGGGGAGGGAAGTAGAATCAGTGTAATTCTTGTATCTGTCAAAATTATCAATTGTCCTCTGGGTCACTTGAGCAATTGGGTAAAATGAAGACCAGGGTGCTATCCAAATAAGCAAAACCAAGAAGACCACTTTGAGATACACCCATTTACAAAGACTGTGTTTTCTTCCCTGTCAAGCACATTTTCTGTTCTGCCAGCTGTACTCTCTTGCATAACTATGTTTTGGGATCAAGCGTTGCCATGGTTTCAGTTCAGACCAAAGACTCAAGAATACACAATTCTGAAACGATCAAATACCACTGACTCTTGATTACAATAAGCATGGCATAAGTTAGCCCCAAACCATTTATATTGGGTTGTGTAAGGTGCTTTTGGATTCACGCCTGATACAAGCATCTTTAATAGTATAGAAAGAAATATTCTGTATGCTTCAAAATAATCAAATGCTTTGTAAAGGTCTGATTTAAGAGAATATGCTAAACAACCCAGTTTCCTCCAGCTCCCTGAGAATGGTGGTCTGGGAGTTCTACCTGCTTTGAGCTCTGCACTAGGAGGTTTCTATAGCTGTTTCATGTCATCCTCATAACCTTGGGAAGTAGCTGTCGTTAACCCCATTTCCAAGATAAGGGATCAAGAGCTTAAGTCATTTTCCTAGAGCCACAGATGGCAAGCCAGGAACTGAACCCAAGTTGGCCTAACTCCAGACAAAGCTCAGGCTCTTTCCACTATGAAGTTCTGTCTCTCCAACCTCAGGGAATCCCTAGGATGGATTGAGGTTTCCAGAAAGCAGTAATTTTCTTTATACTCACTCATTCATTCATTCAACAGCTCGTGAAACCAGCTACATGCCCAGCCCTGTAAAATAAACTGGGGATAGAGAGACAGAAAAGTCATTCCTGTCCAAGAGAAACTCTCAGGTTTAGGGCAGAAATATGAAAACAAATAACCCCAAAGCAACGTGAGAAGTACCAGTAACAGAGGGGAGGAACACAGAGGAGGGGACCGCTGGCTTTGCCTGGGGCTAGGAGATGAGGAGCATTTGGGGAGGCATCAAACGATTCCACAGGAGAGGTGACGTTTGAACCAAATGGTGGAGGATGAATAGGACACAGAAAGACAAGTGTTCCAAAGAGAGAAAATGGCCTCGGCCAAAGAGCAATGGAGTGAGTGAAGCAGCAATGGTGGCGGGGCGTGCAGACAGGTGAAGCCGCAGTGATGGGGTGGTGGGGGCAGATCAAAATGGCTCTGCAGTGAGGAGTCTGAACTTTATTCTGTCGTATCTGGTGGATTTTCAATAAGGATGGGATGTGACCAAATATAAAAAACGCAACATTGACATTCAAGAAATCCTCTGAGTTTTATCTAGGGAATTGTCTGAATTTAAATAAAATCTTACCATACTATTTGCACAATATTGACATGTAAGCCACGTTCACCTCTTCTCACACAAGGTGTCTTTTCTAGGTTAATTTTCTGCAAAAGAGAGCTTCCATCCTTCAAGAAGAACTGACCACATACCAAGGCAGAAGGTACAGCCCATAAGCAGGTGTCTTCTGGTTAGTTTCTGTTGTGGCACATGTGAGCCTCCTCATTTGGCCTTTGTCTTTATTAAAATGCTTGGACATAATACAACTTTTGAAAAAGACTTGTTTTTAGTAAGTAGCCTGTCTTTAAGAAGTCACCTGTCTTCTCATCCTATTGTTTAGTCTGTACTGTCAGAACAAGATGAGAGAATTGGCCGGGCACGGTGGAGCATGCCTGTAATCCCAGCACTTTGGGAAGCTAAGGTGGGTGGATCACTTGAGGTCAGGAGTTTGATAACAGCCTAGTCAACATGGTAAAACCCCGTCTGTACTAAAAATACAAATAGCTGGGCATAGTTGTACACGCCTATAATCCCAGCTACTCAGGATGCTGAGGCAGGAGAATCACTTAAACCTGGGAGGCGGAGGTTGCAGTGAGCTGAGATCACACCATTGCACTCCAGCCTGGGTGACAAAGCAAGACTCTGTCTCAAAAAAAAAAGAAAAAAGAAAGAGGAGAGGATCTACAGGGGCACAGCAAGTCCAGGCCTTACCTGGGTAGTCATGACAAGATGACAAGACGTTGTCTTGAGGCCCAGTGATGGGGTGAAGGAGACGCGATCTTCCTTTAAGATGGTGAAATGATGCAGTACTTGCTAGGATAGCTCACATCTTTAAAGTGCCTTTCCCCTAAGGGTTTGCTGTTATTCCACACCAGAAGAGATCAACAGCTCAGTGACCCAACACTCACAGTGACTTGAGTGCCCTCAGTGCTGTTTTTGTGAATGCATGAGATCTTTTGTAGTTGAAGTTTCCCGGTGACATCACTAACACAGACTGTGTTTACCTGCTGTAATTCCATCAAACACCCTTCGTGTTTGTGCAGTGAAAGGCTGAACTGCTTATTTGGCTCTGAATTAAAAGGAAAGATCTTATGCATCACACATTTTTCAAAAGATTCTGTTTGCTTTGTGTAGGTAAGATTTGTTCCCTTATAGGCATAAATGATGAAATTTTGATATCAAATATCCTTTTCGGCCCCTATCAACTTCTCCAGAATTGGAACATATTTTTTGATTGGCATGCCTGTTAAACCTAGAGAAAGTCATGACTGCGATTTTTGGTTTACAGGTAACGACTGCACACGAGAATGCAATGGATGCAGTTTCCAGGCCGCACTGTGGACTTCCTACATCAGGTTTGAAGATTTGGGTGTTATAAACTGTGAGATCAGTGGCTTTTTTTTTTTAATCCTTAAATGTAATTAAGATCATAAAAACATGCATCATTCATTTACTAGTGGGGTGGCTTTATTTGTGTCTGCCTAAGTTATTTTTTGAACATTATTTCTGATTTTCATGTTTGCGTGCATTTGAATATGTGCTAAGAACTGCTTATATTGGGCAAAGAAATGATTTCTTGTGAAATGCCTCGTTAATCCTTTTGCATGGAATTTTACCAGTTGCATCTGATCAAAATCACGTTTGTAGTATCATATCAAAAATTCTAACCTGTTTACATTGTTGTCATGTTCATGTTCATATATTATTAAAATCTTATTTTGTACTTACCAGTTTTATTTCTACTTTTTATCACACCTCATTTGCTAAAATAAGTATGACATGTATATGGTATTTTTCGCTAGCAAATGCTAGCAATCTCAAATTGTACTTTGGGAAAATATACCTTATATCATGTCAACAATCAAATCCATAATTAGTGCATGAATTGGCATTTAGGATAAATCACTGGATCATCTGATATCAGTCCAAGTATTTGCCATGTTGGCCTCCAGTCGCTTCCTGGAACTCCAGAGGCAGAATGGTGTAAGAATTTTATATAGCCGCTCTGGTGTTATTGCTGCTTTCTTGATCTCTCTTTTTATGGTTGTTGTTTTAATTATAATATCAATTGATGATCCTTAAGAATGCCTAAACTATGTGAGGTCAGGTTATGAGGACACAACACACTGGCCAGTAGTCGCAGAGTGTGCTTTCCTTGGTCTGGTTTGCCTGTGGGCACCGCCTGATTGAGAGCCATGGTGTTGCTTCCATGAGTGGATGGTTAAGTCTGGGTCCCTCTCCTCACCCAAATGCCCAAGAGTTGTTCTCTGCTGATTGGTCAACCCATTTGCCAAGGAAATTTTGAATTGCAGCAAATGAGTGAATGGATGCTCCGAATTCTTTTGACTGCACTGTGGTGTGTGCCAAGGGCATTTTGGGCTCTTCAAAAATCTGGCCCATGGGCGGGGCTATAATCATCTGGTTTACTGTAAAAGGACGGGACATAAAGTTTATTTACACTTTTTCAAAATTCTTTTCTCTTTCCCACGCCCATGTCTGTCGTTTGCTGCCCACAGATTAATTACCCCTTTTTGTAGTGTAACGGAGCCACGAAGATGATAAGGAAGTAACAGGTTTTACAGCCACTTCCAAAGCCAGGGTAAGGATTGGCATAAACAGGGCCGGGCTGTGGCCATCAGTAGGAGGCCTGGGATTCTTGTACTAAAACATCTCTGTGGGGCCACCACTCAGCCTGGTAATGTTCAGACACCCTGACACCTCCTCCAGGAATATAAGTCTCTGTCCTTTGAAAGATCAGGTTTTTCCTGCACATACAATAAATTATAATACTGGTTTCAAGAATAAGAAAAAGCAAAATCATAGCAGACGCTATTAAAACAAATGAGGATTTTTGGTACTGAGACTATGATTTAGTACTCGGAAGGGAAAGATTCCTACAGAATTCCTGTTAAGTACTTCTTTTTGTACAGACAGTGGAAAACAAGTTGTAGCTCACCAGATTTCATTAGTAAGGTTGTTAGCCGCTTGAAGTGAAAATACTTTGTGAATTGTATTGTATGCTGGCTTTGGAACTCCTACTCAAGAATATTTGTTTTCCATGAGTAAATATCAGTAGGTGTTTTGGAAGGTTGCCTGCCATTCTTTCTTTTCCTTATTTCAAGGGTTATGAAATTTCAAACACTGGTGAACCTTTGACTTACCCAGATCCGGTTTCCCTTCTGAACCATGTCATGTACATCTGGGAGCAGACGGAATGAAACTTTAGGTCACTTTGATTGGATGTGATAGGAATGGATGGTTGACACTAATGTCTTTGTGAACGTTCTCTGATAAAGGAAGAGAAAGAAAAATTGCATTTGGCATGTTTGAAATTCCTTACTGAGTTGAGCAGTGAGTATAGAAACGGCTACTGGGAGAAAAAGCAAGTGCTCAGGAAATAAATTATAAACACTGTGCCTTATTATAAAATCATCTAAGATTCCATCCTTCCTTTTATCTGTTGGAAGATCAATTGTTCATCACAAGTACCTAATTTCGTTACATCTCAAGTTATTATTATTGGCTGCTGTACCTGAGTCATCCACCTGTACTTTTTCTGTTTCAACATGTAATTGTCAACAGGTATTGGCTGGTAAAGGGTTTGGAAAAAGCCAAGCAGAAGAAACATTCTGGGACCTCAGTGTTCTTGGTGTTTGTTATTATACACTTGCAGGGTCAGGGAAGAGAAGGGCTAATAGCAAGGTTAGCTATTCAGTCATCCACATGGCATAATTTCATTCAAGTCCACCATTTCTGCGTCACCAAGCAGTGTGCCCTTTCAGGGGTCTGACCTCTGATTTTGCAACCTCCCCACTCAACAATGAACTTCACAGAGGGCAGCCACCAAGGGGCAAAATGAAGAAAACGGGAAGACTAGGAGGGAACAGAGAATGATAGGCTTGCTTCATAGACTGTACAAAAGAATTGACTGTGACTCAAGGGAAATAGCTCAGATTCTAACATTATCCTGTAATGTCACATATTAACAGTGATTTCTTCAGAAACGGGTATATATGCTTATCGTGGTGAGCAACCTCATTAAAGGCATCTGCAGAGAAAGTACAAACAGAAGAAACTGTGAGTTGGAATTGACAATTAACAGCCCTCTTATTGAAGTGCATCACCATCCATAGAAGGCAGTGGTGTTTTCGCTTTCTTTCTAAGCGCAAAAAGGAAAGGTAAAACATCAAAAATGGTGGGAGAAAAGTTTCAGAACACAAGGTCGTTTTAATTCATAGTTTCCTTAAAAGAACTATCTTGTCTGAGCTTTCATATTTTGTTCAGAAAGGTCGTCTCTTTTAAGTCTTGTCATTAAAGACGGTTTGCTCTTTAAAGTGAATTATCAAAGGGTATAGAAATTGCAAGTTACTGAAACTAAAATACATGATCAATTTTAAGTCTGCTAACTAAAGCCTACTTAAAATTGGATGTGCTTTTGTCCTGGCAGCCCCTTTGATAAAACCAGAAAAAGATACATGGTTGGTCAATTCAAAGTAGCAAATGAAGATAATTAGATAAAACTTTTTTTCAGCGGATGTTGAAGTGGATCTTGGCTTTGGAGACTTGGTTAGCAAGCTGTGGCATAGGCCATAATGGCATTTGGAAAAGTAAAAATGGGATACCCTAGATTTTGACCTGGTTAATGTTAACATTCTTCACTGTATTATTTTAGAATCAGGATCAAACTTCAGATCATATTATTTGCTTCTCATATGGAGGAAGAGAAATGAAATTTGTAACATAAGACTGAAAGGATTTTAAAATCTGGATTCCTCACCACTATCTAGTTCCACAGAAAATTTGTTCTTCCAGACATGTCAGTTTTAAGCAAGGATTTCCATCAGGCAAATGTTTTAAAACCAAAGACCCAAGATATTGCTATAGATTCTGCTATTTTGAGAACTGAAGCTTAATCTAGACTTCAGGCTAATAAATATTCTTTTTTTAATTTGTTTTTGTTTTTGAGACAGAGTCTTGCCCTGTCACTCTGTCACCCAGGCTGGAGTGCAGTGGCGTGATCTCAGCTCACTGCAACCTTTGCCTTGAGTGTTTAAGTGACTCTCCTTCCTCAGCCTCCCAAGTAACTGGGATTACAGGTGTGCACCACCACACCTGGCTAATTTTTGTATTTTTAGTAGAGATTGTGTTTCACCATGTTGGCCAGGCTGGTCTCGAACTCCTGGCTCAAGTGATCTGTCCGCCTTGGCCTCCCAAAGTACTGGGAATACAGGTGTGAGCCACCACGTCTGGCCTAATACATATTCTTATATCACCTTTGGAAGTCAGCCACGTAAAATGCGTCTCATGGAAAATAGCTAGTTGGACACAAAGACTTTATCATGGAACAGAAAGAGGGGGCTACCAAGTTAAAAGCCTGATCTACTTAATTAGCTAAAATGTGGCTATGGGAGGGAAAACATTGTATCCATGTCCCTTTCCTTTAGGAAAGGAGATTCATTCAGGTGGAGTCTAACAATTCGTTTTGTTTTCTTGGGCAATTCTCTTCACCTGTCCGGCTTACTTTTCGAATCTACAACATAAAAGGGCATAACTCAACTGATATTTCGCAAGCTCTTCCATTTCAATCTTCTCATTCATTGTTTCTCAGACTAGCGTTCCTTCAAGCCCTGTTCTGCAAGATTTGTCTTGAAGTATTCAGTGTCATATTTAGGAAATGTGGCATGCTATACCACCCTCTGGAAGATTCACATTTACACTACTCACTCAGTCATTCATTCATTGAATACGTAGCTACCGATTGCCCACTGTGTGCTAGACAGCACATTAACCACCCCAAAACTTCACGGCTTAAACAGTAATTTCCTATCATCTCTCTCAGTGCTGACAATTCATCTGGCTCAGCGAGGCCATTTTCACCTGGGTTTCATGCAGGTGCAGTCAGGTGTTGGCTGGGGTGGCAGTCATGGGAGGCAAGGGCTCAAACCCGCAAGACCCATTCATATGGTGGGCAACTGAGGCTGCCTGTCTACTGGGGGATGGCAGCTGCGGGGAACCCTCCAGAGCAAGCCCAGTCAAAGACCAGACATGGAGGCCACCAACCCCATAAGGCCAGCGCCTAGAAACTGGCTGGATCACTTCAACTGTCAAAGACAGAGCCCACCCAGAGACAAGGGCAGAGGACCCAGACCCAGCAAAGGCAAAGAATCTGTTGCCATCTGTAAGCTGCCACACCCTCTGCTTAAGAAACCAATTTACCTTTCTTTAAGCTGCAGTTTCCTAAAATGATTTTATCCATGGAATCATCTTTCAGCTTCTTCTGTGACTCACATATTTTATTGCAGAGTTCTGTGAAATATTGATCAGAGAAGCCCAAACCCAAGATATTGCTTAAAAGTTCCTTCCTGTTCAAAAATGCTGTTAATCTATGTTGCGTTTCTAGAATCACAAGTCCGGTTTCTTCCCAAGAAACACTTCTTGGGAAGCCCTGAATTAGGGATATTCAAGAAGGCCATGTCTTCTTCCTCTGGTCTTTCAAAAGATGGAAGCAACCTTAGTTGAATTTTTTTTCACCTCTCCTCTCTTTGAGGGTTGGTATGCATTGTTTGTCGTAATTATATTGGCACGTGTATTATTAAAAGGTCCCTCAAAACCCACGCCCTGTGCTCAGGAGCCTTCTTTCATGGAACTATTAGGCACATGGAAGGCTGTGGACCTGATAAGCCTGAGAGAGGAAATTTCCTGAACCACAGAGCACTTCAAAACTGCT